AGATAGATATTCCCCATAAAGACCCCATTGTATGTGCGGTGAAAGGTTGGCTGACACAAGCTGGGAAATGATGTTTGGCTTTCACCACATGCTCTTTCATCTGACGGGAACACTTAAAAGTTCATAAATCCAAAGAATATGCCGTCAGTTAAGATGCAGCTGGTGTTCACAGAAGCCTGACTAACTCAATAAGATGCATCTGTACAAGCTTGTTGTGAGCATTAGGACAAATATATATCCCAGCAGAGCTGCAACAACAACAACTGTCTGGTGAAGCTTAAAAGAAGCACTTGAGTAAAAAGCTCTTCTCAGCAGGGGGTGTATTTATGCAAGGGCATAAAAAACCTCAACACTTCACATACATAAAAAAAAAAAAAACCTGGTACCATTGGGTAAAGAGAGAGGTGTTAGGGTAAGCAGAATAAATCTCCAACAGCATAAAATGAACAGATAGAGAACATATGCTTTTGATGTGCAGAGGGAATTGCCTTCTCCCTCTGAGGACAGCAGATTCCTCTATGCTGAGCCTTAAACTAAAGATCTCAGCCTGATTCTACAAGTGAGCCTAACTCACTCTGACACCTTTCTAATAGGTTGTCTGGAGGGGGATGAGACCAAATGCAGATATCACAGGTGCAACATAATAAATGTCAAAAAAAAAAAAGCAGCTATAAAAAGGGCATTTATTTTCAGTGAGCAGGTGTAGCTTGTTTTTGTCATTAAAAGTATTTGTTTAAAAAAAAAAAACCCCAGCAGACTTTTACACAAACACTGCAAATTAGCATCAAACAGGAGCGACCTGAATTAATCTGCTTAGGGACAGAAAAAAATAAATAAAATAAAATAAAATTACACCGGTGCCAACTTATTAAGTCCCAGCAGTAATTGGCGTTTTTGATCAGAGAGACACAGAAAGCAGCTTTTTTACTTAAAAGGCCTAATTCCTGCAATAAGTAGAAAGTAACAATGCAGGAGTCCACTGGCTGTGGACCAGAACCAGCTGCTCTCCTCACTGACCGCTTGACTTGACTGGAAAGCAGCTGATTAGCCCCTGAAAAATCGGAGATTTGTGTGGTCGGCGAACGCACCGCCATAGCTGCAACGCTAATTCCCAACAGCAGCAGCAAAACTTTGTGCCCAACCACAAAACTCTAGGACAGTCAGATGCAATCCATACCGGTTATGCAGTGAGATAAAGGCTCTTTTGCTCCAGGAAAACTAGATTTATATTTGGCTCTATGCACTACAATCGAGTTTCTCTTCTTTTTCTTTCTTTCAACATCCTCCGACGACGTATGGAGGGCGGTGGGAGGTTTGTTCTAAAGGAGTAGCTGCATGGATGCTTTTGTTCATATGACAAAGTGGTGGGTTAAGACCCGATGCACCGAAAGCAAGAACAAGTAACTAAATGCATAATGGAGGATGCATGTAAAGAAAAACTATTTAACATTATCCGGAGAAACTAAACAATATTTTATTCTTTAGTTTGAATCTACATGAAATGATGATTCGTGATGTTTAGTTTTGTAATAGAGCCAAAACAAAAGAAACGTTGACACAGCTGGTCTCTCATTGGCTTCAGTCTTGCCTGACTCAGAGTCTCGGTCTGGACTTGCAAGGTCTTGGGGTTAGGTGGTCTTGACGACAACGATATGCCATGTATTTGTTACATCATCTTTGAAGCAAATCCAACTTGAAACAGAGTTAAAAGAACCTCACTGCCGACAGAGACAGAAATCTTTTCTAATTGGCAAGGTGAAGGAGAGCGTTGCCCTCGGATCCCCTTTCCCAGCAGAATGTGACAGCTCATATCCCGTGTAATTACTATGTGCATGTCACTGGGTGCTGTGGGATCACGGTGTTTCTGTGGTGAAGCTTTTATTGACTCATTGGGAACTTTTGCCCTCAGCTGCAGCGCAGGTGTGAATTTCAGGCAATCCAGACAGCGAGGTGTGTGTGTGTGTCTGTCATCGGTGTATCAGGTTATCCACTCCGTCAGGAAGGCGCAGATCAAGGTGACGGTAAAGAAACCTGAGTAAGGCTTTACGAAACAAAACTAATCCCTAATTCCAAATACTTTGCTGACTTTTCTTTAATTGTCGAGTGTTTTTTTCCAGAATGTAACATCCGATTGATACGATTCAGGCATGTAGCTTAGCACAATAAAGTCCGATAATTTGACAGAACTTTTTGGAAGAACGTCTCTGATACCTATTTAAAAGGGAGATATTACAACCAGACAGCATTTACAGAATCAAAAATCATTCACTAATAACAAATGCATCACCCAATATTCTCAGTTTTTTTTTCTTTTCTGGAGAATACTTAAATGTTGTATTGTTATAAAACAAGACTCATTTTCATTATCTATTGTTCAATCAATAACAGTAAGAATGTTATTATTAGAAAACTAGGTTATTTTAGGAGATATAATTGGCAGCATAATAGATAAAATAGAATTAAATAGTCAAAAATGTAATCTTCAGTGCCAATCTATCCAGTAATTTAAAACAGTGAGACATTTTGCAGACAATTGTGCTCGCTTATGCTAACAACAATGATAACTACTCAAGTTTAAAAACAACAAAACACCAAAAAGGCAGTGAAAAACTGAGCCCAGTAGAAAGGAATTAAATACATCTCAATCCCATTGATTAAATAAAAAAAAAACTCCCATTAATTCACAAGTCAACCTTCAGGGATAACGTTATGAAGCACCGCTCCCTAATTGTGAACCTTGGGACCTGGAAAAGCCAAGTCTGCCCTGCACAGCGGAAAATTTCTCAGGCTCAGGGATCATGATTAAGATCTGCTGCACTGACACGACCTAAAATAGAACTAAACCAACACTCTGCTTATAATTAGAAGTTCTCATTTTTGAGAGAAAGATTATAAAAAAACATTCCTGAACCCACAGTAATATTAGTTTCTTTTCTTTAATACTGTAAAACTTGAATATGAACTTTTATGTTGACTTGAAATGAATACAGCATTGTTCAAACTCTCTCCCCAGTCATAATTATTCCTTGAAACAAGAACTACTCATTTGAATTTTTTTATTCTACAAATACTTAAGATTAAAGGCAGGACAAAAAGTTTAACTACGCAGCCAGCTCTTTGTTGGATAGAAGCAAATTCACATGTTAAAACGGTCCAGTCAAAGTCCAGATCTAAATGGATTTGAATACGAACATCAAACTAGAAAATGTACGTTCACAAACACACTCCATCCAGTCTGACTGAGTTTGAGTTATTTTCCAAAGAGGAGAAATAATTTAATCTTTAGATAAGCAAAGCTGGCAGGGATACAACCAAAGACACTTGTGGCTGTACGTGAAGTGAAAGGAGATTCTACAAACTACTGATGGGTTTGTTAATACAAATGCTTGGCACATTTGTCAGACTTTTACTTGTTCCCTTTTTCATCCGCTCTACATTTAAGTGCTGCTTTGTGTTATCTACCACAGAAAATCTCAACAAAGTGCATTTACAGCAGGAGTTCTAACGTGAAAAACAGGCTCTCTAGTTGATCGAAAGTTTGTAATGCACAAGTGGCAGAACAGGCTGTTTCGTGGAGAAATTGTGAAAGTGAAATTCTTCTGCACTTCCAAATTAAAAACATTCAACCAAAGTGAAATATCACATGGCACTGAATCACAGAAGTGTAGATAGCCACAGTTATTTGGATCGAAGTGCTGGTTCCTCTCTCATCCAGCGTGACTAACTGGATTTGACACAGTGAGGAGTTGACGGCTCCCAAGTTCACAAAGCACATTCTGTCTGCCTGACCCCCCTTCTCCACGCACATTTACAAACACACACACACACACACACACACGCACACACACATGGAGCCCGCACACACACACAATCCTGTTTGGCATCACACTCTCACGCACAGGTAGACTGCAGCGTCACATAATCCACTGGGTAAACTCACCAAGACACACTGACTCTGCTTCACTGGGACACAAACAGAAACATTGTGGACTCATGGGTTTGTCATCACTGATCAATATATGGCTAATCCTGTTTGCACAAACCACATAATTACACATTATTAAAAGTTCACAGTGAGGGCAGGAGCGTAAGAGCAAAAACGCAGCATCTGTGAAGGACAGCCTACGTTTGAAGCCACCACCAACCTGGAGTCAACTTTAACTTTCTGCCCTCTTTATCTGACCTGCCCCGAGGAGGCGACAGCTTGTCGTAATTTAAACTAATCGGATGATTCTCTCACTCTTCATAATCCAAGACGCAAAGGCTGGCCTAGGCTGATTTTGACGGGACTGCTGCAGGAGTTGAAGACGCACTGGCGAAATGACGCTGCACACGTTGGGGAGGCAGTCGGGAATTTTTAGGGTAGAAGAAAAGAAAATGTCAAATTCTGCACAGAAGCTCGTTCAATTTGAGAAAAAAAACAAAAACAAACAAACAAACAAAAAAAAGAACATACAACCAGGCTACGTGCGGTGCGTTATGATCTCATGGAAGTCAGTGTTAATTGATAGGTTAAGAGGTGACATTTAAGACGAGCATTGCATACAAATGCGCTTACTCGCGTTGAATTGACTAATGGATGTCATTTGAAGCGTCCAAACCAGGAAAGAGAGAGAGAGAAATCCAATCAGGAGGTTTCAGCACCGCGGACAGCGAATCCTCACATTTACCTAAAAACATGCTTTCAGCCGCAACACTTTTCTACGCCTAGTCTCACATTGATGCGTCTTTTCCTCAGTATGAGTCTCATGAGCAGCTCCCTTCTCACACACAAGTGGAAATTCTTATAAAAACAACAAGAAATAACAAGCATAGACCTAACACAGAGGAGCGTTAGATATGAAGGCTTTTGATCAGCTAAAAACAATGAAAGCAGCAGCGAGATAACGTGCCCATTACTTAGAAATTGCAGCTTGCGCTTTCTAAAGTCAACACTGAGCAAACAGAGAGCTTTCCCATTAGGGAATGTGGGTTTAAGAGGGATACAGCGCAGGACTTACCGCGTTATCCTCGTCGAAGCCATATGTTAAACATTCAAATCTACTTTTCCACACACTGTTGCTGTCCCCCTCGGCCGCAGGAAAGAGGAAATCCAGGAAATAACATCCAGCACAACTAATCCAACCAACCTGCTCGCTTGGTTGAACGCTCACCTTACTTACTTTATCTATTAATTAATTTTTTTTTTTTTATTATTATTTTTTTCTTGGGAAGTGGGTAAATATTCCGGTGACGGTGCGTTCAAGACGAAGAAGCCGGTGTCTTACATATAAGTAAAAGAAAAAAAAAAAAAAAAAACAGAAACAAAATAGATGGCAGCAACGTTTGGTACTCTAAAAAGTCCGTCTCTCTTCTTTAGTTTAAGCCTCCGCTGCGGGACTTAGAGCGCTGTAAGAGGGAGACAGAGCAACAGTCTCTGTTCCCCCTTCGCTTTCCCAACCGCGTAGTGAGACAGAGCAGGAAGGGGCGGGGGGAGGCGCGCAGAGTTGGCGAACAGCGGCGACATCAGCTGAATGAAGAGAGAGAATGTGTATTTAAAAAAAAAAATAAATAAAATACGTGTAAAAGCCGTCATGCGTTCATCTCAGGAGCAGCCAGCTGCACGGATGACGAACGTTCCGCCGTAATCTAATAACGTCCACAGCAAAAGGCGAACGGATTAGCCGGTGTCCGCTTCACTCTTCCCCGCTTCGCTTCTTTGCGCCCCATGGCGGAGAAGGAAGTGTGTATGTGTGCGCCGCTGTGCTGCTCCTCACGTAACTGCTCTGGATTTATATGCATCTTGTGCGCAAAAAAAAAAAAAAAAAAAGACTACTAACAGGGACGGATAAATATACATTGTGGAAATGATCTTTAGTTTTAGTTTTATTTTTTATTATTATTGTGCTGCAAAGACATTTTGCCGTACAGTGCATGGTGTTCCATTCAGGAGCAGAAATATTTGGATTAAACTGCGACAATTGCTTATTTCAAGATTTCATCCGTTTTCAATAAACTTTAATGTTTAATTTCAACTTTCATTTATCTAAAAAAGAACCAAAATATCACATGAATTAACACTGTATGTACAATATAATGGAACTGTATTGTACATACAGCTTGGACTCTGAATTTTAATTATTTGGGGTCTAGAACAAAGCGGATGTTTAGAATGATCAGCTGTGAATTACACCATGTAGCAGAGGGTGCTTGAGAAATATTAGAGCGAAAAAAAAGTCTGAACTGAATCCTGCAACATGACAATGTCTCAAAACATACCTGCAAGTCCATTAAGGACTGGTTGAGAATTAAAGCATAAGCCCTGGGCTGAGATCTGGCTCCTGTGTTGATGCTGTGGGGTGACATGAAGCAGACTGTTCAACCAAGGAACCCCTATAACATCTTACAGCTGGATGTGTCTACGGAACAAACTTTCCTTAGAATGATGCAAGAGATTCATTAACCACAGAAAGTGTCAAAGTTCTTTCAACCAAAGCGGATAACATTAGCCTTCGGAGATAACAGTGACGGATAATTTTTCCTCAGATGCGATTTGATTTATCTTTTGCTGAATGAGTAAAACAAGTTTTTTTTTTTTTTTAACTAAGCAGGAAGATTGAAAGTCAGTGTGCGAAACCCTAACCCTAACCCATTTCCTACAGAATAGTTGAATTTAATGAGGTAGTGTAATTATTTTGAACTGATGCCTAAATAGTTTCTAGCAGTTTTGGCCAGCTTGGTTTCCGTTGAGATTAGTTGACAAATAGCCACAAGCACAATTACTATGGGATTTTTATACTAACTTCCACAACTTTGAGACATAACTTTTCCAGCTCAATGAACCCAACACTAAGACTGGCCTTTTATTGGGCAGCCTGTAAAGTTACTACATTTTTATGTTCTTATTTTGTCATCTTACTGAAAGGATCCATAAGTCTTACAGTTTTGGACATTTTGTGTTGGTTGTAATATTTTGAGAAAGTTCCTTTTTAGTAATTGTCTTAGTCTTATATTCCTCATTTTTCAAATCTGATGGTCTGATCCTCTGTTTGTCTTCCCATGTTCACTGTTTATACCTTGTTGTGGAATTATTGAATATCAGCTTAATTATTAAAAGGTACTAGAATCCCAAATCTACCTTTCTTCCTCTCTGTATTTGGCTTCTTTGATCCACTTACCCTTGACAGCTGTAGCAATCCTTTTATGTAGGTTGTAATCCTGTTGTTGAGAAAACTTAGAAGTCAGTTTTTACTTAGCTTGTTTTGGTATAAGAGGCAACATTTTTGTCAAGAGTTATGTTAGATATAAGTTCATGGAACCTTTATTAAGTTCAGATATTTTATCACTAATTATTTTTATGCAGGCTTTGGATTGTTTAGGGACAATTCTAGGTGTGGATATCAGATGGACACAGTTACTGTTGGGGTTTTTATGATTCGCACTGTTACGCCCCCAAGGTCTAGGGGTCCAGGGGCAGTAACATAAAATGTGTCCGGAGTGACGGTGTAAAGTAAAAATGATTTATTACAAAATAAAGTTTCACAAAACAATACAATTTAACCCAATTAATGCAAAACAAAAGGGATTAACAAACTCAAGAATGCCAGGTGCAAATTAAAATTACAAAAGTCCAAACAAGTCAATTCAAAGTAAACTCAAAATAAACCACAAAAGGAAAACAATGCAAAGAAAAACACACACACAAAGAGGAGGCTGCGGGGAACACACAGCCTCTCAAACTCAGGCTTCTAACTCATACTTAACTGGAGCAAAGTCAAAGTAACTAAACTGGACAAACAGGAACAAGCAAAGACCAAGCCAGCTTAAAACCTACCTAAAGCAGTTGCAACTACCAAAACAAAGGGAGGCAGCTTCACAAAACCTCTTCAAAATAACTGCCCCACTAGAGGAATGGATTCAGGAGCCTTTTATAGGGTGCAGGTGGGCCTCATCAACATCTGATTGGCTTGACAATCCTCTGCTGGTCCAATGGTGTAGCTGCTTTCCTACAGCCTCCAAGCAGCCAATCAGGAAGATGTGCTCTCACAGCTGAACCTGCATAACAAAAAGGGAGCCTGCACAGCCTCAAGAGGCCAGGGGCCGTAACAGCACAAAACCTGTAAAGAACCAGACACAAAACCAATGAGGGTTTATGACTTCCTTTGCAAAGGGAGAGATCCACAACCTCTAATCCGCTCAGGATCAAAGATTGGTGAGCTCTACTCTCCTCTGCTTGGGAACTGGCTTTTATTATGATGACCTTTTTCAGTAGAACAATGCTGAGATAACAAAACAGATGGACCCCGTGAGTAGGAAATTACGTTATAGATAACTGGTCAGAGTCAGTTAGGTAACTGAACACATGTAGATAAAACACTCAAATAAAATGCTAAAACAATGATTAGTTTAACCCAACAGTTACAGTAAGACATACTGATTTTTAGAATAACGATCACCTTTTCAAAGTTTGAGGTTTAGCTTTATAGCCAGTTTCATCAAAGAATGTTCTCAAAATGTTAAGTAAAATATGTATTTAGTATGGTCTTGTGCAAATATACTATACTCTCTTTGCATGGTATATTTGCTATCCATGATATGCTATTCATGATGTATTTACAGAGGAATCTGTAGCGTTTGTCATCCAACACACTATTAACTATAAGTGCCTTTGAGTGCCAAAGCAATTTTTCTTGACATCAGAATGCTAGAGGTACACACTCGGAGCTGGATGCTCAGAATTGGACACTTTGGTGTAGGGTTACACTAATGTATTAGATGGATACGACATAAGCTTTAAAGTCACTGTGAAAAGAATTTTTCAATTCCAAGTTTGACGTATCAAAACAAAAATAGTGTTTGGCCTCCTGTGCAAAGACTTGTTTAGACTGCTCCCAAAAACATGGTGTACAATAAAAACCATTAAAACCGCACATGCACAAAAACACCGACATGTTTGAAACGGTCCAAGTATAATTATTTTTAATATCCCAATAAAGATGGAATTGATCACACATGAGGGAATCCCAGACTCCCTCCTTGACATGCCTCCAAGTCGCCGTTTTAATGTTGCCCACTATTTAGTTATTGTAAATAACTGCAAACGTTTCCATGGGGAAATGATAAAACTAGGGATTTTCAAACTTTATGCATGTTTTAACAGAGGCATTATGTTTCCATCATCTGGGCTTGATGGATCTATCTGAAAACAGAGTTTGAGTGAAAACAGAGTTTCAGATAGATCTTAGCAAAAAAACAAACAAAAAAAATAAACAAAACAAAGAAAACAGGTACAGCCAGTTTAACCCCTGGCTGTTAGGGATGATGTCTTCACAGCAGCCCTCCTATGTGCATTTGGGCTGTGCAGCAGTGCAGCTGCTCAGGGATTTTCACTTTGCTTCTTATTTTTGTTCTGTGCTAAACCACAAAAAAAAAAAAAAAAAATGATCAGTTGAATTAGAGCATGAGATAAAATTTGTATATAGTTACAATGATTCTTAAAATATATATGCATCCTTTGATGTTCCATTTATAATGGTATGTGTGCAGATGACACATATTCTGCATGTGTTATTGAAGGATTCAGCTCTGAATACCAATGTGAATCTGTGTGTCATTCATCCTCTCTATTTTCAGTTGACAAAGATCAAAATGTGAAAACATAATTGGTTTCTCTTAAATTTTTTTAACAGTATACAAAAAAAAAAAAAAACATAATGTGATTTTTTTCTTTTCTTTTCCAAATTTAGAATTTTAGTCTTAAATAAAACCTTTGGAATGAACAAACGTGTCACAGGACTGGATTTGATTTTAATATTTCATTACTGGGGCTTAGAGACACTTCTTTTTCTGTTGAACACATTCAATGTATAATTGTCAAATATAAGTTACTTTGACTTGTACAGCATCAAGACATGAGTTAAAAATTAAAGCAACCTACCACATCCTTTGGATAATAATTTTAAAAGACAAAATTGCCTTAAATAACTTATAAATTAAAAAAAGAGTAAAGAACCATTTAAATTCTATTTATTAAGCATGATGGTATATTAAGCAGTTTTACTGCCAGAGTGTGTGTGGTCAGTACATCAGAGTTAAAAAATACCTTACACTGGCATATAGCTCATAAAATACACTTTCAAATGTTTTTATTAATTCATAAGTTACTGAATGACTTAGCACCAAATACATTAAAGATCTGTTGTTGCGTCAACCTTCCAGACCACTCGGGTCTTCTGGTTGAAGTCTACTTTGCAGCTCCGGAACCAGAACCAGAACCAAGTGTTCAGTTTTTATGCTCCTCTAATCAGGAACAAACTTACAGAAAACTTCAGAACTGCTGAAACACAGTGTTTCTCTCCAGCAGCAAGATGAAACTTTTACATATATTTTTATACATATATTAAAACTAATAACTAAATATAACACGAGACAGTCTGTGACAGGCTCCTCTGTCTCTTCTCTGTGGTCCTACAGCCATCTGCAGAAATGTTTCTAACAGATTATCTGTCTCGTGTTATACTTAAAATAAGTATGTAAAAAAAACTATTTTTAATAAAAGTTTTTTTATTTTTTTTATCCAGCTTTAAATAGAGGCTACAAAATCCAGTTGTTTTTGATTCGTAACAATGGGAACGTCAAAGTGTTTTTCAACCTGTCATCGTTCTGCCTTACTTTGCCACTTCAGTGTAAAGTATTTTTCTTGTTTGTTGTGTTATTTTCTGTCTAACCCTGTAAAGCACCTTGAATTGCTTTGTTGCTGAAAATGTGCTACACAAATAAAATTGCCTAACCTGGCCTTTCCTCTTCAGATCATGTCGAGCATGGAATATTTTGATGTTCATTTCCAAGCACGGTAGGATGTTCATCTGCTGCATCATGCAGAACATTTGTATGTGTGTGTGTGTGTGTGTGTGTGTGTGTGTGTGTGTGTGTGTGTGTGTGTGTGTGTGTGGGTCATGTCAGTGTTGAATGAATCCTAAATCAAATTTGTGTGTGGTTCCAGTGCTGCCATGATTGCATGCAGAACAATTTCCAGATCAAACAAGCCAAAGCAATGAAATATTCAATTCAAATTCAAGCCTGCGGCCCGTTTTTCCACTTTGTATTGTTTGATCCAAAACTAAAATTGAAAAATATGAAAAACAAAACCTTTTTCAGTTTTGGATTCAATTAAAAAACCAAATAGAAAAAATGATGACTTTGACTTTTGTTTGTCCGTTTTGTTTGTTGTGGTTTAAACGAAGGAGACCAACTCACGGAAACAACGAGGTTTTCAAGCAGGAGGAAAAAGATAAACTCGTGGTTATTGTTTTTACTGTCCATAACTAACCAACCAGTCTGTTCATCAACTGTCTGCCACTACTGACTTTTGAAGGTCAACCTGCGTGAGAATTTATTAATCGTTTTTAGACAAATTCAATCAAACTTTCCATAAATGTAACTTCTGATTTATATAAGAGAAATTGTGCTTTAGTCTTGCTAAAAAGGAAAAACATTTTTGACGCTGCACCGTTCTGCATCATTCATGGCTTCCTCTGTCCGCCTCTCAACCTTCCTACCTGTCTATGTCTTGTTGTTTTTTTCTGCATCTGTTTATATTTTCAGTGTAATTGTGTTGTGTGTGGGTTTTTTTAATAAAATGTCTTGAAATGTGTTAACAAATAAAAGTTATTATTATAATCTTATACTTAAAATGTGCTTTATTGGCAATCTCAAAAGTGTCATGACTTATCTTATATAATGCATGAATGTTTTTTGTTTGTTTGTTTGTTTTGTTTTTAATCTTAAACCAAGTTCTTTCAGACACAAGCTTTCATTTATTAAAAAGAGGAAAAAACATGAATTATGATTAAAAAAAAAAAAAAATCCATCACAAAATGTTCAGAATGATGTTGGAAGCTCAGAGTATTTTTCAGCAGGCACAGAGCGGGCTACTGTTGCTATTACAGTTGAGCTCAATCATTACTGTTGTGATTCTTGATTTTTATAATTTCCTAATAAAATGTGCGATAGCAAGAGTGTTAGCTGTAAGCCTGCCATCTGCTCGGTTGTGTTACTGTGTGTTTGTTACTTTATTTTTAATTTGTAGACATAGCTTCATAACATAAACGTTGGATAAATGGAGCTCAGCTTGCAGTGTCGCTCCATCTGCTCTGCAGGACTCCAGCAACGACAGAGCCTGCAAACAAGCAAAACTTCAACGACTATCTGTTTGATGCGGAATAAAAGTTTAATTGACAGAGAAACCGACTTGCTGATGTTCTTGATATCTGATTAGATCATCAAAAACTCAAACTACTACAAGTCAAAAGGGTTTGCAGGCAGAGAGCCAGGCCAATTATAGCTGCTCTACCACTGTGATCTTACCTGCGTGTCCATCTGCTCTGTGGGATTACAAGAAATCCTATTGAGCTCAGCGGCCGGCAGCCAAGATCAGAAGGTCTGAGCCAATCATGACAAGCCATCAGTGCACGCTAAGTTTGTCTTCACCAGCAAAGTCCAAGGTGGTTGAAAAGGAATCGTAGCTCTGAAATTACGACGCACTCATTTGATGATCAGATGTCAAAAGTATCCCGTCAAGTCGCCACATCTGCAAGTGCGGCGCTCAAAGACGCCGGCATGTAAAACGAGATGGCGCCCAGTAAAAGCGAGATTTCTCTTTTTCGTTCGGAGATATCTGAAGACGCTGCTGCAGAGCTCCAGTACAAAGACTCAGTGAGATGGGATTTAATGAGCATTCAGAAGGGTTTTTGCTTTCAACAAAAAGCAGTTTTATTACTAAACCTGCATATTTACAAAGATTTCTTTGCCTCAGCTAATAATCCAGTTCCTCCATCTGTTATCTTCTGGGTATTTTACGACTAAACTGAATCAATAAGACTTTAAATTACTTTTGGATATGCTTCATCTGATGTACTACTGATAAGAAGCTTATATTGAAAAAAAAAGAGACAAATAAAATCTATTTTAGTTAAATCCTCTCAACGACGTAAAACTTCTGCCATTTCTTCTGCTTTAGCAAAATGTACAACATTCCCCTGTTGCATAATCAGCTTCTATTTGTGCTGCTCCCTCTTTACTCTCTGTATTGACATGATGATCAATTTGTGCTAAACATATTTATCCTCAAACTTGCAATGAGCTCAAAGTAATGGAAAGTAAGAGCAGTACTTCCTGTGCAAGTGCAATAACAAATCCCATAGACAAAAGTCTAGCAGGATGTTTTATCAAGTAAGAAAATGATTTAACTTGTATGTTATTAGGATTTCATGAGTAAACAAATTTGCCACCCGAACTGTGAAATGCAGCTTTAAAATGTAACTTCATATTTTTATACAGCTACATAACAAAAGCTTCATTTGGTGGATATATCTTTATGGCAGAGCATGAAACTCAGCACAGTTGGATCATTTACAGTGCTTGGCAGTGGCTTAATATCCCTTGAACATTACCACCGATTGTAATTGTTTTTAATGTCACATAACTAGTAAATAGGGCCTCCTCGCGGGTAATTTAATTTCAGTACAACAATTCCCTGACGGTCTCAGAGGTTTTATAATAATACATCAGAGGACGAACAGCAACATGAAGGAAAATAAACACAGTTAAGTTATAAACAAAGGACAGATTAAAGCAGAATTAGGATGTAAAACAACTAAGGAAGCAATTATCTATTACACAAAAGAGGAATGAGAATAGCAGCAGAAACACCGTGACACAAAAAGAGAACTCCGTCTCCACATCTGGTTCATCCTTGCAAACAATACTCCGATTCCTAAAAGCGCCATGTTAATCTTTTTACACGAGAGCAATTAAAAATAAACAGCATGTGAACAAAGGCTGAAAGGACATTTTAGATAAAAAGATGCTTTATTACTCCAAACGATTTCAATTTCAACTTACAATAGCACTCAGGGACAAAGAGCTGAGTTTTCTAGAGATGCAGGTTTGTTCAGTACGACAACTGGTACGTTTGGACCGACCAGGTAGAAAATGTCAAGCCTCAAAGCACCATGTCAGCTGTACATACAGCAGCAGAACAGACTGATTCACTTCATAAAATCAATTCATTAGGAGCAACAAGCATTGCTGAATGTAGAAATACTGAACAACATCTTAGGAGAATGAAAAAAAAAAAAAAAGATTAGGGAAAAATCTGTTTTCCAAATCATCATTTACTAAGGATTCCACCACCAGTTCCCAAAACTTCATCAGGATGAGCCAGAATTCCAGAAAACTATTTAGAAAAACTTGTGGGAAGATATTCAAAATATTTAAATAAAGTCATAAAGTTTAAATGCAATTAGAAAAAAATTTAAAATACTAAGAAAATGTTTGTAAATCTCTGAATTGAAAGAAAATGTATCAGAAAACAGAAAGATGTACTATCTCTGATTCATTTTCAGAGTTAAAGTAAGGTGATGTGCCTTTTCGTGCAGCGTGAATACCCGGTTACAAGCGCAGGTGCGCTGTAAAATATGACAAACATGTGAAAAATAAAAGTGAACATATAGCAGATACAATAGAGTAAGTTTTCTGGGCTGTGATCTGTAAAGAAAAAGAGCGCACAGAAAATTACAGAGAAAGCGATAGAAACTGGATCTCAGACTGAATGATAAAGGCTTACATTTTAACAAGACAACTACCTGGAGCACTGCAGCAGGAGAAAACAGAAAGGGCTTCAGGCAAAAAAATGTCATGGAGTGACTGAACAAGAGTGTAAATTTGAACTTCTTTCTCTAGTGAACATGGGATGCATGCACACTGTCATATCCTGACTGTTGTGTTGCTGTACCTATCAGGAAGTAAAGCATGTTAATTAGCTCTTAATTCAGCTTTCCCTTTGGGCTTCATTGACTAATAAACCCTTGAGGATTTTTGATGAGGAGATATTTCTGAAAGTAGTGCTTGTTTTATACTGAACAAAGAACTGAAAAAAATCTAACACTAAAATCTGGCTTTTGTCTGACAGCAATAAACTACTTTGCAGATGTCATGTGTCAAAAAGAATCACAGTATGATGGCCTCTAATTCTGGAGTTTTGGTCAGTAAAACCTTTCATAGACTTTAACTATAAACCTCTTTACAGTAATCAATAATGAACACAACACATGAAGGAAAAGAGTATCCATAAAGTTACAGTTACAACTTTTATAATTCAAAAATTTACTTAGTAACTAGTCTATACAGTTTTTTAAATTTATTTAAAAAGTCCAAGTCTTGTGAATTAATAATAATAAAAATTTAAATAACAAAAAAGTTATTGATGTGTTTCCAGTTTGTTCCAGTTTGGTGAGTCATTGTAGATGTGTTTGTTTGTTTGTTTGTTTGTTTGTTTGTTGTCTGGAAAAAGAACATGTAAAAGTTAAAGGGCACAATTGAAACCAGAGGAAATAAAAGCAGCGATGGTGTAACTTTTATAAAAATATGTTGTTTTCTTTTTACATGTTTGTATTGTATATGAAACAGATAATCTGTGTGAAAAATCTAGCTCCTCTGCATTTTCCCTGCTGTCCTACAGCCATCTGCAGGAACACACGGCTCCCGGTCTGACACAACCAATCAGAGGAAGGAGGCGGGTTTTAGCGCTGTCAATCACGCTTCTATATGGGCTTCTCACAACTGTTTCCTTACTCTCTGCTACGCTACAGGTAGTACACGACAGCAAAGCCTGCTATAAATCCTAAGGCTAACTAGCATTGACACCAATGACAGAGAATAAGTAGTTTTTCTGGAACTTTAAGTTTTTTCTCCACCATTAGCAAGTTGAGGATGGGGCTTTACACTACCGTCAGTCATTCATCCATTTATTCGCACACATTCACACAATAACGGAGGTAAACTACATCGTAGCCATGGGTCAGTCTGACAGAAGCAGTGGTGCCATTCTGTCACCATGTGGTGCTGTTTATGCACCACAAACAGCTTTCTTCTGCTGTTTATGTGGTGCAACATGGACATTGTTTGGCCAAGAAAATAGCATCAAACTTTACAAAAGTGTTTCATGATTTTCTGTTGATAGAGAGTATCATAAAACAAGTTTTAACATGGTTTTCTTTGAGTTGTTTTACATTAAACCAGCTCATTGTCTGACTATTAGCAATTCACTGCTCTGAAAATGTCTTCACTTTTTTTTTACAAACTCATTGTGACATGATATCTTTCTGATGCAGGTGAAAAAAATATATATATTAACAACAAACTTGTGTAGCCAAAAATCAAAAGGATCAAAAGTCTTCCTTACAGCGATGGCTCCACGGCAGCACAACTGGGAGGAAAGAACGGATTTTGAAAAGGTTTGAAGTTTTCATCTTTGGAATAACATCTTGTGTGGAAGTTCTGAATCCATCAGGAACACCAACCTGCACATAAAAAGAAATGAAATTGATGTTTCAATACTTCAGCCCCACTTCTGGTAGATGGTCAGTCACAATTATTGGATTGTTTTACTTTCAAAATTATAGCAATTAGAAGTAAAAGGAAAAAAAAAAACTTTCTCTTTGAGTGTTAAAGTCTGAACAGTTTTCAGTGGGGATCAATGATGTGTTGTCTGCAACCAGTGTTTGATATTTCTTTTAGCATAGGAACCTGCTTGTTTATATTTATTTGTGGAGCAGAAATGTTCCAAGTGTTTTTTTTTGTTGTTTTTTTTTGTTTTTCTTTTATCCAAGTGGCTTCACATTTGAAGGCATATGTCAAAGAGAGTTTCACCAGCATGTAAAATGTGCTACCTACTTTGTTTTTGAGACGAGCGAGTAGAAAAACAATTATCATCTCAAACAATTTCCCAAAACAGCTGCTCTCACTCACAGCACACAGAGAGAGTCACATGGTCAAAACACTAGTGTTTTCTACTTATTTTAAACACAGATTATATCCGACTAATTTCTGTTTTCCTCCATGTGGTAAAATAAACGATATGTCTTTTCTGTCCCATTTTACACTGGATACAGTGAAAACCAAGTGAGTGTTATCCACAGTCAGACTCCTCTCCTTTCTCTTGATATTTTTTTGATGTAATTAGACTTTCTCAGGAAACAATTTATGGGATTCTGCAGCATTTAAATATCGCTGACTGGATGCACACTGTCACTTTTCTTCATAATCTGAAAGATGCCCAGCAGAAGTCAAATCCTTCATAGCTCTAAACCATATAATCTTCGATAGGAGGATCCTTTTTTTTTTTTCTTTTTTTAAGTATAGCAAAAAAGGAGATGTAAAGCAAAGCAGCAGCTGCTGGGATAATTGCACACACACACAGAGAGAGAGAAACATCCACACACAGAAAGGAAAAAGAAGATGAGGAATGGCAAAAAACATGAAAGAGAACATTATATTTATCCTGCCTGCCACCATTAAACCCATCCAGAGCTGGAGCTCATTCTAGTTCATTCAGTGGAGCAGATGTTAATAGCTTAGCAGTGCTAGGCAGTAAGTGTTTAATTAGGTCTGAGGGAAAATGATTTATTAAACACATCTGGGCCAATAAAATATCCCATCACTGGATTCCTTCTTTTATGACTTAGGATTTTGATTCTTTCCCTAGAACCAGAAAAACAACCATCTTAGGTCTTCAAAAACAGAATGCCTCACACACACACACACACACCCACACACACACACACAGGCGAACTCTCTCCTCGTCCTGAAGAGATGCCTGAGGAACATCAAACAACAGAATGTCTGAAAGAAGAGCCTCTGTAAGGGTGTGTCAGTGATGAACTAGTGAGCTCCAGCATAAATATCGCTCTGGATGAGACTCTTCTTATACACTCTCCGTTTCCTCTCACACATGGTGGCCGGTCGTTTTGTCCCTTCAGCATTTCAGAACTTTAAAATTTTGCTTTTTTTTCTTGTCCAACACTTGCAGGAAGAGCCTTATCAGCCGTACCCTCCCGTCTTTTCTTTCCTCGGTCTTTACTTTTGATGCAGCTGATAAGGGTTCAGCATTTGAAAGGGATGGATGCATATATCAGGCTGTGCCTTGTTTTTGTGGTCATTTTGGGCCAAAATCAACACAAAACCATACATTCAAATAATTAAACAACCCCACTGATCCTAAAAAGCTTAACAAGAACCAAACAGCTGACTGTAAAGGACTCTAATAATGCTTTGGAGGGACTTTTAGCATGCTTTAATTGTGTTCAGCATGATTTTAATGCATTTTTTTCAGTGTTCTATTGATTGCAGGGCAAAAATGCAAATAAATAAATAAATAAAAAAAATGCAAATTTCCACACACTTTAAATAAGACAACTAACTTACAAGTAAGTTTTCAGCAAAAAAATTGGGGCTTGTTTTTGTACAACAATTCCTTAACATTGATGAAAAAATACGAGCTATAAATGAAATAATCTGCTAGTGGAACAAGACATTTTTTCCATGTTAAAACTTATAATATGGGAGGGAAAAATTTTGTTTTTGCAGTGTTGTTCCACCCTGTTGACTACATGTCTACACCTGTGTGCTGACCCACCAATCAGGGGGCAGCTGTGGGTGGAAAGACACACAGGTAAGAGGGGAGAAAGACCCCCTTGTTCAGAGCTGAATGACAAGCAGCAGAAGCAGAAAAAAGGCAGAGAATGGAAGAGAGCAGGAAGGAACGGCTGCAGAGAGAAGAGCAGAGGCAGAGCAGTGGACATCAGGGAGCGGGCAAAGTCCAGGGCTCTGCCCTCACAGTAAGTATAATGAGTATGTATGCTTATTTCCTGAACATAATTCATAAGAATGACTAGTTCCCTGCTTTGTAGTAAATTCCAACCATGCTCTGCCTTCTGGCAGAGTGTGAGGCTTTTGAAAAGGCTTGGACAGCTCTCTCTGGAGCCGAGTTGAACTTCTAGGGTTTTTGAACACTTAATCTGAGTTTCAGTCTTGTAACTCCTTTTTAGTTTTCAACAACTTTGTCCTGGTGGTGTGCGTAGTTTTGTGTCCTCTTTATTGTAATAAACTTTCAAACCACATTTTGCTTTTTATAAATGTTTTTTTTAGAGCTTTCATATCCTTCTAGTCACATTTTGTAACATTAAATACAACAGAAGACAAAAAACACACATAACAGAGGAACAGAGAAGAATAATTCATCTTTTGGAAAGAGGCCTTGAAGGTGTAATTGTATGGAAAAGGACCCAACGTACTTTTCCAGAACTTTATGGAGAAATTAATGAATGCAGGAACCAGAACCAGAGAGGGTGAGCTGGTGGATTAAACAGCAGCCAACCATTACGGGACAATTATATTTCAGCTGTCACAACATAAGGTGCTTTATAATTAATATGAGTTGATAAGTTAATACTTCAAACATGTGCTGGGTATTCTGTTAAGAACCCATCAAATAAAAAAAATAATTGAAAACCAAAAAAAATAAAAACTTCTGATTAATAAAATATTTCTCATCATGCCTGAATGCAACCGGACCAGTTGCACAATTATAAAAAAATTTCATACATTTCTCTTAACTTTTCGCTGAAATCAAGTGGTAGTTTTTACCAGCAGAACCATGAATAAATCTGACACATCAGATCCTGATTCATGCGTCTTATTTTACGGCAGCCTTTTGCATCAAGATAAAAAGTAATGTTCATGTACAGTAGCCAGTCTGCAGTCAAAACTCTCCGGAGTGCAAAGTATTTCCTGGTGCACCGTCTGGGCGAGCAACCGCCATCCTGACTGAAAGACATTCCTGGAGACTTTCTTTACAGTGCAGTTTGGGACATGGGCTAAATGTTTTGACCAGGAATCCGGAAGAGCAGCTTTCAAAGACGACCGAGTCACTGCTACACCTCAAACAAATATCGATATCAATATTCTGATCTACAGAATCTAAATTAACTCTCAAAAGATTTCAGTTTTGGTTTTGGCTTCAGTGGCCAGATTAGTCCTTACCATATGTTGATTCAGGGACATTTAAATCCACACAATTAAGGATTTTTCAGGGTGAAACTCATAAGAGGAAGGCTGTCACTTCCAAGGCTCATCTGAGAAGAATCTTCTGCTTAACAAGCCCAGTCAGTAGGAACATGAATCTAAAATAGTTTGAGAAGTTAAAGGGAGAGAAATTATTCATATGTATTAACTGTAAATTCTTGCAGGTGAAAATGCTGAATGCATTGTGGAGAAACTAATTTATTGTATTTGTCCAAATTTCCTGGAGTCACAACCCAATTATTTAATCATTTGTGATTATTTATAAAAAATTTTTTCTGGTAAAAAAAAAAAAAAAAAAAAAAAGAGAACTACTTGAATTACAGTTTAATCATGTTCTGATGCATCTTTGGGTCGTGTTCTGGGCGGTTTGATGTTCGTAGACCAAATAGACGCCAAGACTTTCTCCTGGCGAGTCACAGCACTGAAGTCCATCCTCTTCAGGTGAGGCAATATCGAAATAACGTGACTCCTCAAACACAGTAGAAGGCACATACATTAGATTATTTGACGTAATTTATGTCATTTCAACTCAATGAATGCACTTTGAGATCCATCCAGCCATTTTCTAACACCCTTGTCCCTTAGTGGGGTTGGGAGGTGGTGCTCGTGCCTCTCCAGCTAACATTTCGGGCGAGAGTCGGGGTCACCCTGGACATACAGGACAAACAACCATGCACACACACACTCACACCTAGGGAGAATTTAGAGAGACCAATTAACCTGACAGTCATGTTTTTGGACTGTGGGAGGAAGCCGGAATACCCGGAGAGAACTCACCATGCACAGGGAGAACATGCACAAAACCATTTAGAAAGACCCCGGGCCGGGAATCGAACCCAGAACCTTCATGCTCCAAGGCGTTACCAACTGTGCCACTGTGCAGCCCCACTTTGAGATAAGATTCTCTATTTTATTATGTTTTTTCTCACATTATGTGGTTTTTGTGAAAAAATAAAAGTCTGTTGAAGTGGTTCAGGCACCACACAGGAGAGCAACAGCTCAGTAAAGAAACTATATCTGGTGAAACATATAATTAATCACAATCCTTTCAGATGTAGTAAGAGGATGATAAATTATCACACATATTTTCTTAGTTGAAAAATGTCCCTGCACTAAGTGTTACAGAAATGTTTGAAAGAGTATATAATTACTTTGCTGTAACCTTTTTATGACACACTTGCTTACAGTTCTCATTTTGTTTAGTATAAAAATCGATGTATGTCTGCAGATATGCTGTCTATTGTTGGATGATTTTGTTGTATGCAGTGCTCCCCAGCCAATTTACAGTTTCATATTCACCCAGTCATGAATTTTTCTGTTACAGTAAACTCCAACTATTCACAGATTTTAGCTTTTTTAACAAGTTTGCTATATATTGGTATATTTTTCTGCTAACTTTTGTTTTATTGTTGTTTCTCTGTCTGTTAGTGTTTATGTATTTTACTGTGCTAAATAATAAAACCGGACTAATTTAACTGAAATTACTTTACTAAACTTACTCCAAGAAGTCTTTTGTCAAAGGGAAACTGGACAGGCATTTCCCAAAAAGAGAATAAAGTAGCTTAAAGCAAGCAAGGAGCGGTAATTTTGAAAAAGAGGCCAAAACAATCTCTGTTCTCATTTACGTTTTAATTAAAGAAATATCACGTTGCAAATGATTTTTTTGTTTACCATTCTCACCAATCAATGGCAAAACTTGTGTTACAGAAATCCAACCCTGCTTATAATTGCCAACTAGCTTTTTCCACGTTTCTACTGGTATTTTGACAATTTATGTTCAGTGCTGAGCTCCAAGTGACAGAGGTTGGAAGATCGTCTTAATATCTACCTCATCTTCAGGTGCTTGTAAAATTAAAGCATTACTGTAAACAAGAAAGGACTACATATTCATAAAACTCAATTGAGAAGGTATGAAGCTACCATACCTTCATCAACCTGTGGATGTTGAAGTGATTATTGTGGAATGGGTTGGCATTTACACTGTTACACTTATAATTGCAAGGCAAAATTGAATCAAATTATGTTGCTATGGTAGTTAAGTTGATAGTTAAAGCAAATCACCTGTAGCCTTTGATGTTTTCAATCAAATTTCCATGAAGTGTGATGGTGTGCAGATAATTCAGCTCTCCTAATTTGTTTACTTCACTCAGGCTCCAGATGTCATTGCCATGCAGATACAAAACACGCAGCTCCTTTAGCTCACATAAAACCTGGAATACACAAAGACATGCTGTTCAAAACGAGAATTATTACATTTAAAATGAAGAAGCACAAATAGGAATGGTTTTATTAAATGCGTGTAGACTGAATTACGTATAGAAAATATAACGCATGTAGACAGACAAGGAATAGGCTCAGTCAAAAGAGGTACAATGATTTAACCTGCAAAACTGACAATTCGGCTTAGCAAACAGGTACATAATGAAACGTAGTAAAACTAAATCTTACACATTCAATACTTGTTATTTTGTTGCAGGAGAGATCCAGCCAGCCAAGCAATGATGGCTGAGCCAGAAAATGACTCAACATGAATTCAAGGCCAACGAGGTTTGTGATGTTGTTGTTGTTCAGACGCATCGACTGGCTCAGGTACTTGTTGTTCGAGTCGATCCTTAAGGGGCGCAGGGGAAGGCGGGGAATCTCCTCCAGAGCATCTAAACCACAGTCAGTCAGTTAAGCGATCCAGGAATAGTTTTTCAATTTTTTTTATTCTGCTAAAGCGCATTTGTATGTTCCTCTACGAGATCTCAAGAATATGATTAAATTCAAATCAATAAACGGGCAGGATTATGTAAGGTCAACCTCTCTGAGCTTTACAACATGTTAGATTGTTATTCACTCATATAAAACACACCTGGAGTGTTTTGTTGATTCGTTTTTGAGAAATCTTTGAATCTCCCATAGCAACCATTCGGCTGTGCAAAACGCTTTCGGGGATCGAATAGAGCCTTTGTCAACGAAGCTCCTCCATGGAGCTGCAGTTTCTAAGCTTCAGCATTACAGAGCCCCCCTCCCCCAAAAGACCCCCACTCAGCTCCTTCAGACTAGCCAGCAGCAATTAGCAAACACCTGGTGGAACTGAGCATCTGCTGAGCTCAGTTTACGAGCTACTTCTCAATGAAACGCTGGTAAAAAATATTGTTTAGGGTTAATAGAGGAGCCATGTTGTGACAACTTCCTGCAGGCAGAGTGCCAGAAAGAGCAAAAGTTTCTTAAAGAGACAGAGGCCCAATTATGAAATTACGAAATAAAATTCATTTTAAGTCGGATTTGACATATACAGCATTTTTATAACAACTGAATGTGACATAGTTATGTGATTGTGCTAAGTGGCTGGAAAACACATAATACTGCCCCTTTAAAGCAAACAGACCATTACAGTTTCTCATTGTAAAGACAAAGTAGAGAAATGTACCTGTGACATTGTTGAGGTCTTTGAAAGACAGGTCTATTGGAGGACCATACATGTTAAGTCCTGAATGTTCTCAAGTGCTTAGCATGAAGCTAGAGATAAACAAACTGGCAAAGAATTCTCAACATTCAAAAGTAAATATATCAATTAAAAATCTGTTTCCAAGAGAGAGAGACAGAGAAATTCTCCCATCAACACTGACAATATCATAGCTATGGTCTATCAAATCTACAAAGAACCAACTGATGAAGAGATTTTTTGATTATTTTTATTATTTTGGCGGTGGATGACCTGTCTATTTTTTGCCGATACCATGTTGCAGCTCACCTCCACCTGCTTTATAAACTGTGTCTGACTTCATCAGTGTCATGTCTGCTGTCAGTGACACGGCTCTGTTCTGTACTCTGGGGTCACCGCTGCCTCAGGCGTTCCACTGCTGCAGATGGAAGGGCAGGAAGGTCCCAGAACAGAGAAACCTTACCACAGATGAACTACTTTAAATTTTCATGTGGTTATAATTATCCTTCTTGATGAGAGCAGTTCTGATTGATTCTTGAAATATATGAATATTAAAAGGTTTGTCTTGAGGAGTGACACTTGATGAAACTTCTTTTCATTTTGAAAAATGAAAAGGATTGGGAATTTTGTATATAAATAAAAGGCTGTGCAAAGTCCTTTAGTCAGTATATATCTATTTTAATATTTTCTTTAGCCATTTAGCATATTGGCTTATTTTTGTCCCTGCACAATCACATAATGTGCATCATTTGTCCTTGACCTTCATGCTTTCTTCTTCCAACAATCTTTCTGCAGATCTAGATTTCCTTTACTAGCAACACTTGTCACCTGCCAACACTACTAGCACCAGTACAAGGGTTAATGACCACAGTAGTTTTGCTTGATTGGCCAGCAAGTTTATTTGCTGTTAATGAAACCTGGGCTTCCTCAAAACCTGAGCAGTACTCAGAATTATAACGTCAAGATAAATAAACTTCAAGCTGAATCTACATAACTTGAGCTTCCTAAAACAATGACCTAAGTCATTTTTTGTCAAAAATGATTTTGGGGGAAAAAAATCACCACCTCTTTTCTGCCAAAAGATAACTTAGGCAAAAAAAAAAAAAAAAAAAAAAAAATTTTTGCAAAAAAAAACTTTAACAAGGTGACAATATGCGTAAGCAGCCATGAATATGAAATGCAAGGTAAAATACTGAATACAAGTCGGCTGAATGGAAATAAAATGCAAATGCTTTGCAGGGCAAACTGCTGGACAAGAGCGAGTCGAACAGCTGACAGAGGACGAGTAAGGAGATAACAGTGGGAAACGTCAATCAGCAGCTTCAGCTTTTACTTCAGCTATTCGCACACTCGAAATATATGTATGCGCGTTTGCTTTGCTGGCAGCACATTAGCATCTCATTCAAGGAGCAAGGGCATAAGAAGAAAAAAAAAAAACAGACAAATAGACAGTAAGCCAGACTCAAGGACAGAATGAGATGAGGACACTGACGGGAATCAGGATCGGTGTGAACAAATTAAATAGAAGTTGTGTAAAATATTTGGACAGTCAGGAGATTGTGGCATTGGGGACATGCATGATGTGAGTGTGTGTGAGCAGAAGGAGCTTTGAATTTATTAAGACCACAGATCAAGAAAAAAGGTCACTTTTGTTGAATAAAACAGCAAATAGGAGACCATGAGGGGCGAAGGGAGGACCTGGGCTTCTAAATAAATGGCACTGTGTGCTCCCTTTGTGACCATCATCTGGTTGAATGATTGGTTTAATACTCAGGCGCCACAGTGACGCTGAAGAGCGTCACTGTGACATGGGACTGGGGAAGCTTTCCAAACAGTACTTTTAGGAATTTTTAAATTCCTAAAAGTACTTGGAATTGGAAACCAGCGAGTAAAAGCAGTGAAGTTAACAGGCCAAGAAAAAATCCTCTGTTCTGCCTCCCAAAGGATGTAAATTTATGTTTTATCATTACATATAAATCTTGAGGTGTGACTAAATGGAACTACTTTCAGAGGATTTGTTTCTGTCATCTAGATTTCTTTTTTAGATAATTCAAACTGAAAAACACAAATGAACAGTCCTGCTGTTAATGAATAACTGTTATGCATAAAAGAATCAGAAATGACGGATAGCATGTTTTTGTTAACATTTACTTCCAGTCTATTGCGTTCTTACTTCTGTCCCTCTCCTCCATCCCGACCTCTTCCTTTTATTGCGTTCAGTCTTGAGGTCATGCTATTGGCTAACTGGTCATCCAGACACACATGGCTGCTTACCTTGTGTTGGCAGCAGAGGTCCAGTCCAGTGTTTCTTTAGAACGTGGCAGTTTGAAAAGGTTTCATCTTTGGCCCACATCTTGACTGTGT